ATATATATTTTTTTTTTTTTTAATCTAGGGCATAGAAGAGTCTTATCCTAGTCTGCCCACTCTATACCGAAAGGCTATAGAGAGGGGCAGAAAATCTTCCATGCTACTCGCAGGGGCATTCTGAATCAAGTTCTGTTCTCTGATTCTCCTTTAGGGACATTTGAAATTTACTGCCAAGCAGGGAGCCACCGAGAAGCAGGAATGAGTGCAATCTATAATGTGTCCCAATGTTCTGGCCCTCGAGGCAGCCCTTACAAACGCTACCAAGCTTCAAGAGTCTACTACATCATGGCAGAAGAGTTGGAATGGGATTATTGCCCTGATAGGAGCTGGGAACTGGAATGGCACAACCAATCTGCAGAAGAAAGGTAAGCCTTCGGGAGAGAAGAGATGACACCTTTAGGGAATCGTTTCACATATGAGGATGCTGCAACTGAGTGGAAGAGGCACTTCTCTAAGGTGATAATATGATACTAATTGAACGAGGATGGGGACTAGAATGCAAATTTTCTGGATTTCAGATCAGTGTTTCTTTTGTATTTATTTGCTATTTGGTTGAAGCCAAAGTGTTGCCAGCACCCTCATCCTCTTAGTCTTTGCTTCCCTTGTTCTAGTTTGCCAGAAGTATCTAGCCTTATATTTAAATTTCAGAGAGAATTTATTCAGGGAACTGTGTGCCTCAAGCTCATTCATTAAGGCTATGGAGTAGGTGTAAAATTCCAAACGAATCATTTCAATAGAATTTAATTTCTCGTTGACATAATAGCACAGATAGGAGCAATCTACATCTGGGAAATGAATTATGCCACCCTCAGTATTTATTTTCATTTCTTGGACCAAGATGCCAGTTTTGCTTACTGCCATTCCCAGCTATCAAATCTGAGCAAACAGCATTGTCTGTAAAGTGATGGCCTAAGAGTATACATCACTTTTTTTCATATCCTATTGTTCTGAACTTATTATATAGCTATACGGAGCTAAAAACAAGTCCAGGAAATGTAGTCTCTGGTTATCTGTGGTCTCAGGTATAACCTGGGTGATTCTATTACTAAAAATGAAAGAAGATAGTATTGAAACTGAGGTACAAATTAGTAGTCTTCACTCTTTTGTTTTATGTTATCTTGCTGCTTTTTGCCAATTCTTGCTTTTTATATCGATTGATTGAAATAGATGTTGTCTTGCTAATTTGCTCTGGGAATTAGGCAAAGTGAATTCCCACATGTGAGCCTTGGGTCTCACCGATAACGTATTGAAAGAACATGACTCTAGAAGCGGGAGGAAAGAGCAGCAGACTTGAATCTAAGCCCAGTTTTTCTTTCTGCTTTCTGGCTGATAGTGTCTCTGTAGATAAGTCTTGTAACCTCTGGTCAAGTTATTGCACCTCTGAGATCACCTGTGTGTCACACCTATTGAGAATGTCACATGGTAAAATGAATAACAAAGCTCTTTATAAAGTAAAAAACATTCTATAAGGAGAAACATGTAAAACACTATTTCCTTCCTATCTCTTCCCACCTATTACTTGCAACAGCAGCAGCAGTAGCAGTTAATATACTCTTACAATTCTGTACCTACCTTGTTCTTTTGTGAAACTGATTTCATCTGAAGCCTCCTTAAATTTGGAGCTAGAGCCCAAAGCTTCTGATTCTTAGCCCAGGGCTCTTGTGATATTAATTGTATCATACATTTCTTAACTGGATGAGGGAAAACAAGAAACATGAAGAGATTTTGAAACCTATTCTGAAATAAAATATTCATGATGGTTATACAGCTGATTTGGGTGGGTCTAAAAAAAATAGAGATCAATGTCTTCTTTCTTCTGTGCCATGAAAATGTTTTTGACTAAGCTGCTCTGTATCTGAAAATGAAGTCGAAGGACAAGTGCTGATTACACTCTTCTGGTTCCTCTAGTTATGGTCACATTTTCCTGAGCAACAAGGATGGGCTCCTAGGTCCCAGATACAAGAAAGCTGTATTCAGGGAATATACTGATGGTACTTTCAAGACCCCTCGGCTAAGGTCTGGAGCAGAAGAACACTTGGGAATCTTGGGTAAGCGAATCAGACTTCCATTTTAGTGTCAAGAAGCCTGATGTGCTTCTAGGACAGCTATATTGCATCAGCAAGTCCTCTACAATCCCCTATTCTCAATTTTTCTTATGCTATACTAGAAATACGGTGATATATGATAAAGGAATCATGAAAATAATCACTGGATGGAAAAGTATGAACTCCTCTATCTGAACCAAGTTTTTCCAGAATATGTATATCTTTGAGGCATAGAGGTCTCTTTGGGCAGGCCTGGCCTAGTTAGAAAACTAGTGTCCCCACTCTGGTTTACTTGCCCCTCCCTCCATCTTCTCCCCAGGAACAATCCATAGACTGGCCAGGGTAGCAGATTTTAAGAAGTGCTATAGGCAGGAGAATTTAGGAACATCAAAAAAGGGAAGTAATGATACAAGTAATCAACATTCCCTGTACATCCCACTTTTTTTTTTACCTTTTTTTAGGTCCAGTGGGTTTCCTCATGCTCAATTTGACACAGAAGAGACCTATTGCCCCCTGAAAAGACCCCAGCTATTCTTTATTTTGTACCAAACTTTCATTCATTAATCATCAATGATTGCATATAGCTCTGATTCTCTAGAGCCTGTGGCTATTACAGACAGAGTAGGAATAGGAAAAGTAGGGATAAATGGACATATCCTGTTGCTGAAATATTCTTGCCGGGTGTGGTGGTGCACACACATGTAGTCCCAGCACTCAGTAGACTGAGGTGAAAGGATCACTGAGAGTTCAAGTTCAAGGCCAGCCTGGGCTACATAGTGAGTTCAGCCCGAACTACATGGTGACATGGTGAGTCTCTCTCTCTCTCTCTCTCTCTCTCTCTCTCTCTCTCTCTCTCTCTCTGATTCTTGTGTTGTAACAGTATCAGTTTAAGGACTTTTGAATCTAAATATGGAATGAACCTTGATTTCTGGTCTGAAAAGGATCCTTTCTTAGTAAAACCCTTGATCATACCTCATGAGTATGCCCCTTTCTTTAATGTTCCAGATTTCTTTCCCCCAACTAATGAAATTTTTAATTATTTTATATATATTAGGTCCACTTATCAGAGGAGAAGTTGGTGATATCCTCATTGTGGTGTTCAAGAATAATGCCAGCCGCCCCTACTCTGTGCACGCCCATGGAGTGCTAGAATCTGGTACTGGCTGGCCACGGGCTGCTGAGCCTGGTGAGTGGGTACATAGTGAAGAGTCACAGAATACACAACACTTTTACTTCAGTCTTTTGTTTTGTTGCTTTAAAAAATTATACTCTTATGGGCTGGGAATGGAGCTCGGAGGTAGAGCATGTACAAGGTCTTGAGTTCAATTCCCACCATAGGCAAAAACAAAAAAGACTGGTGTGTAGTTTTGTGGTAAAATGTTTAGGACCCTGAGTTCAAACCCCAGCACAAAAACAATAATAAAAAAACTAAAGCCAACCAACTAAACAAACAGAAAACATGCTCTTAGAGATCTGAAATAGTTACATTAGCCAACACAAAGTTACACCTTAAATTTGTTTCTATGAAAACTAAATTTAATCTCAAAACAGAGTATGGTTTAGTCTTGACTAATATTCCTATTTTAAATCTCTAAAGGTATACTTTGGCTCTAGTCTGAACTGATCTTGGCCAGAGTGACCTGGCCCAGACCACATATTAATCTTTAGCACTAGTTCTAGCTAAAGTTTTTGTCCTATTATTATAGATTAAATCCTAACCCCAGTCAAACACTAGACTCCTAATACTGAATGCAGAATGATCACAATCTTCACCATGTTCTGTTCCATTAATTCATTCTTTGAGTAAATATGTGAGACCAGTGGATGACAGGAAGAACTTTAGAAACTATGAATAGAGTAGCAAGTAATATTTCTTTCTACCCTTAGAAAACTTGGACTATTGTGATAGAAACAAGTAAAAGGGTAAGTATGGTACAGTGTGATGAGTGTTCAAGTTTTACAATATAAGTAGTTTGAAAAGTGGGTACCTAATCTAATGTTTGTGTGGTTAAGAATAGTTTTCCAGAGTCACACCTCACCTGAAACCTAAATCAGCAATTTTCAAACATTACCATACATCAAAATCATCTACTTGTTAAAAGCACACACTGCTGGGATCAATCCCCAAAGTCTCTGGTGCACTGGGTCTGTGATGGGACTTAAGAGTTTGCTACATCAAGCATGTTTCCAAGTGATGCTCACACTTTCAGATCAGAAACTATATATATATATATCTTGATTCTTTTTTCTCCAAACCCTCCCTTCCCATCAACCCTTCTTCCCTTATTTACAAAAGCTTTGTTTATATTTTTTCTCCTATTCTCTTTTTTCTTTTCCCTTTCTTTCATCCTCCTTCCCCCCTCCCTTGTTCCCCTTCCCGTTCGAACATTTTCCTCCTATTCCCCAATATCTATTATACACTTTGTATATATATCTTGATTCTTTTTTCTCCAAACCCTCCCTTCCCATCAACCCTTCTTCCCTTATTTACAAAAGCTTTGTTTATATTTTTTCTCCTATTCTCTTTTTTCTTTTCCCTTTCTTTCATCCTCCTTCCCCCCTCCCTTGTTCCCCTTCCCGTTCGAACATTTTCCTCCTATTCCCCAATATCTATTATACACTTTGGTCCTATTGTGATAGAGACAAGTAAAATGGTAAGTATAGTGCAGTGTGATGAGTGTTCAAGTTTTACAATGTGGTAAGTAGTTTGAAAAGTGGGTACCCAATCTATTATCAGTTTATCACAACAGAAAAACAATGTGACATTTGAACATGTGTGTCTGATTTATTTCACCGAAGAGTAGAGTCTCATGGTGTCTCACATTTATCCTTTTTATGGCAGAGTAGTACTCTACTGCATAAACATACTCACTTCTTCTTTATTCATTAATCTTTTGATGGGCATTTGGGCTGTTTCTGAGACTTAGCTATTAAAAATTGTGCTGCTATAAACATGGGTGTGTATATATTGTAGTGTGATGCTTTTGTGCTGTTTTTATCACAGTGGCTTTGCAGTATATTTCCAAGTTGGGGATCATGGTACCCCCAGCCAAGCCGCTGCTGCCTAGAATTGCTCTGGCTATTCTAGGTCTCTTCTGATTCCAAAGGAATTTTTGGACTGTTTTATTTATGCTTTTAATTCTTTCAAGAAGAACAGCTGGCTAGGAATTATACTTTGAAAAGCACTGAGCTAAAAAGTATGAGAAAAGAAGCATATGAGTGAAGGGTCAAGTGGAAAAATATAAGGAAAGGGAAGTTGTAGATATAGAATATGTAATGTTTAAAACTCTAGTAGTGAGAGATAAAAGATGAACTAAGGAAAAAGGAATAGATTCCAGAAAGATCAGTGAAGTGAAGAAGATTTGTGATGAATGTGTGTTGAAAGTAAGAAAGATAAGAATCCTTGTATGACACCCACACTTTGGAGGAAATTCTTGAGTAATACCCAAATTTTTGGCTTGTATAACTGGGTAGTGCTGTCATTCATTAAAATAGGGAAAATGGTAAAAAGCTACCTATGCATTCAGGGGGAATGGATTGGTTGATAATGGGTTCAATTTTGAATTTGTTGAGGTGTTTGTAATATGACCACATACATATAACTGTTAGACATGAAGATATAGGGCTGAGCACAGTGACACAGTAATATATTTTTATGCTTTGCAGCAGTAGATATAGAGAGCATCCATATTAAAAAAATGTGCTGCTTATTGAAACATGCATCTGAGAAAAGAGTGAGAAATTTGCCAGGAGAAAAACTAAGAAATTACGGTATGATAGATGTTAATAAGACATTTCGAAGATCTCAAGGATGAATTAGTCAACAATCTCAATTGTTTTACTGAGGTCAAATATGAAAACAAAAAATTTTCCACTAGATAGCGCAACAGGAGAGCAACTGCTAATTTTGATAAGTTGGTAGTGAAAAAGACTATATTGCATTAGATTAAAGCATAATTGGGATATTTGGGAGTGGAAACAGTGAAAATTGGTTAATTTTCAGATGTCGTTATAGCAATTTCAGGGGTACAGTTAAGTGCTAAATTAAAATGGAAGTGAAGGACAATAGATTTGAGGAGGTCAAGTAAGTGCTAGGTTGAATGCTGGATGAATCACCCACATTGGCTTTAAAGTCACTTAAAAAATGTTTGTAAATGGGGAAGGGAGAAGGGGGTGAAGGGAGGGCAGGAACAAGGGGAAAAAATGAGAACCAAGACCTGTCATGTAGAGGTACAAGATCCCAATAATGAATGTAACTGTACTGTATACCTAAAATGTACCAATAAACTCAATGAGGAAAAAAAAGAATGATAAGAGATGCTGTGAAAAGGTACATGAAGAATGAGATACTAAAATCATCAATAAAAGAAAGGAAAGAAGAGATGCATTAGAAGCAGGAAAAATAGAAGGTTGTCACAGTAATCTAAACAAGGGATGATAGTGTCTTTAAAAAGGGAGAATGCTTGGTAGGCTGGCACACGCCTGTAATCCCAGCACTAGGGAAGCTGAGGCGGGAGGATCACTGTGAGTTCAAGGCCAGCCCAAACTGCACATCAAGATCCTGTCTAAAAAAAAAAAAACAAAAAAAAAAAACAGGAGATAGCACTTGAAGATGAGTTAAATGGATTTATGTTAAAGTAGAAACAGTAAGACATGATGGACTGAAGAGTGTTTTGGGAATAATGGTGATGGAGGAGCCAAAGATAATGAGCAAAAGTTTGGTTTAAGAGCTTGGATAGTGGTATCACTCAGAAAGATAAAAATTGCAGGAAGCAGAGAATATTTTTTGTTTGGCTGACTTTATGGAGGAGAGATCTTAATTTTATTTGGGAATGCTTTGAGTATGAGGTACCTGTAAGATAAACTAGTCATAAGTCAGCCATAAAGACAGGTTATATTCAGTTGGAGATAATAGATTCATAGCTTAGAAGGGATACCTGGGATAGATACAAAGGCTTAACAGTCATTAGTAACTATAAAAGATAATAGTTGAAATAACAGTTATGTATGTCATCAACCAGTGAGTAGCAGAGTTACATAACTTTGAGCTGAAAATGAAACTTTGAATTAATACCATTACTTAAGAGGAGGTAGTCTTTCATTCTTTATGGCTGAGTAGTACTCCATCTTATAGAAAAACTACATCTTCTTTATCCAGTCTACAACTGATGGACAAGTGGGCGTTTTCCATGTTTTAGCTATTACAAACTGTGCAGCTATATACATAGGTGTGCATATGTCACTGTGATATGATTCTTTTAATTCTTTTGAAAAGATACCCAGCAGAGCTGTGGCTGGGTCAAATGGAACCTCTAGTCCCAGCTCTTTGAGGTATCTCCATATTGATTTCCATAGGGGTTGCAGCAGTCTGCACTCCCACCAACAATGGAGAAGGGTTCCTTTCTCCCCACAACCCTGCCAACATTTGTTATTGTGTGATTTTTTGATAGCAGCCATTCTTTGTGGGGTGAGGTGGAATCTCAGTGTTGTTTTCATCTGCATCTATCAAATGACCGGTGATCATTCATAGGAAAATGGATACATATTGAGGATATACTCCTAAGTGAAATAAATAAGTCACACATGTGTAAATACTGAATAGTTTCTCTGGTGTGAAAAACTATAATAGTACACAAGATCCTAATGAGATAAATTACAATGTGAAATAGGAAGAGAAGGGCTAAAGTTGTAGGGAAAGTGGAAAGGGCAGGGAAAAGGGAATAAGGGAAAAGAAAAAAATTATGAGAAAATGAAAAAAAATGGAAATAAAGTGTTTGTAAATGGGGAGGGCAGGAAGGGGTGAAGGGAGGGCAGGGACAAGGGGAAAAGAATGAGAACCAAGACCTGTCATGTAGAGGTACAAGATCCCAGTAATGAATGTAACTGTGCTGTATACCTAAAATGTACCAATAAATTCAATAAGAAAAAAGAGGAAGTAGTGTACTCTTTTTTTTAATAAAAAATAAAAAATTTATTTTATTTTTAGTTAATTTTATTGGTGCATTTAATGTATACAATATAATGACGTTCATTGTTGGAAATTTGTGCCTTTACGTAGTCAACCCTTGTCCTTATTTTTCCCCATTTTCTGCCCTCCCTTCAACCCCTCCCTCCCTATGTACACAGGCTTCGTTTCCATTGTTTTTCATTTTTTCATATTAATTCCATTCCCTTCTGTCTTTTCCC